CCTACAATTAAATTTAATCAGCAATAATGTCAAGGCTCAAGTAATTCAGTAGTTCAATTTGTTAGTAAACTTTATAATATGTAAACTATTAAATGAAGAGGTTAGCAGTCTTTAATTGCATTACATCTCACTAGCATGTGAAACATATCTAATTATTAAAGTTATATATAAAATAAAAATAAAAATAAAACAGTGTAATGAGCACTCAACCTTTTAATTTTAACTTGATTGACCATTGATCACATTAGTTTGTTTTGCTAAGGCTTCATTTGGTGGAATCAATTAGAAAAGAAAGGAGTTAGAAATTTTTAAAACTTTTTTTTTGGAGTTTGGAGAAAATGGAAAAAGAAAGGAAAGAGAAAAATTGGCTTCTCCCATCTGCTTATATTCTCTCTCAAAACTTTTTATGCACAAAACAAAGGGAGGCCCTTGTTATTTGACTTTTTCATTTTATCCAACTAACTTGTTTGCATTTGTTGTTGGATAACTCTTTTCTCTTAGCTTACCCTTTTAACAAAAAAAAAAAAAAAAAAAAACACTATTTTCTCCTTTATGAGTTGTCAACAAGTATTTTTATGAAACAATTTTTTTTTTCCTAATAAAATAGGATATCTAGTATTATTTTTAAAACAATCCACCAACCCATAACCCTGGGTAAACATAAATAGTGATTAATGTTGAAAAATAAAATAAGACTATATAACTGGGAGGTTCAAAAATAAAAGAAAAAAATATTGATATTTAGTTGGGTCTCTTCTCTCTAACTATGTCTTATCCAACTTTCAAAAATTGGTTGTCTTATTTTATTATAATTTTCTTTTCATCATCCATTGCAAAATATTTCTTTTTAATTTTTTTTACCGATATAAGGGTAGTTTTGGTAAATAGAATCACATTCTTTTTACTTTCATCCTATTCAACTAATAAATTATTTTTTATCATAACTTTCTTGAAAAATTTTATACTAATCAAAAACATGGTAAAAATTTGGGCCATGTTTAGCGTGGCTTTTTGGGGCTCCAAAACGGGCTTCTAACCCTAGGAAGGCATTCCACACCAAATGTGTACGTTTGGTAATTTTTTTTAAATGGGCTTCCTTCAAAAGCCCGTTCAATGGAAGCATTAAAAAGTGGCGTTTGAATCCACTTCTCGGGAAACCGACGAGGAATTTAAGTTGTATATGTTGTGATCGCATACAAGGGTTTGTATTGACGAATGTGTTGGGATTTATATGCCCTGGCATAGCAAATTCCTATCTGGATTATAGTGACATATGTTCCTGACATATCTGAAATATTTATGATTTATATAATTGGTGAATTCAATGTATTATGTTTCGATTCACTATGAAATTGATAGTGTCCATTTAATTACAAGAAATATTTATATATATGTATGTGATGACAATCAATGCATGATATATAAATAGTAATTATAAATTGTTCATAGTCGGTAATTATGGATGGACTCATAATTAATTAAGACTTGAACTGGATCCGCGTTAGGTTGAGATATATTGCGAGAGCCGTCGTATGCAATTACTCCCTATCACCGTCATGGCATTTGACTCTTAAGCATGAGAAAAGTGTAGTCTCTTTTATTAATTAATAATTACTTTGATTTGTTCGGCGGATTCTTCGGGATCCTTAGACCGACACTTTGGGTAGTTATGTAATTAATAGTTAGAGGGTTATATTTTCAATATTTGCATTATTGCTACTTGTATTTATTTTGTATTGATTATGGTTGATCACAAAGTAAATTCGAAGGCCTTCGTGTGTTTTTAGACAAAATGATTTATTATATATTTATTTATTTAAATTATTATTTTTGTCAAACAAATGTTTTATTGTGATCGAGCCAGAAATAATCAAAGGTACCAAAATAAATATATTAATTAAGTAGTCGGATTGATGGCTATATTTATCCGATAACTAATTATGCATAGAGGGGTCAAAGTGCAATATTGACTTAGAGGTTATTTATTATTTAATTGGAGTTCAATTAATTTCTTTTAGTGGAGTAGAAATTAATTTATGAATTAATTGAATTGGGTCCATGGACCGGGCCAATTATTAATTCATTGTAGCCAATAAAATAATAGGCCCAATGGATTCTCACTCATAGCCCAACTTGATATTGGAATCATATTAGATTTGAGACATATGAATTAGAGATGGAGAAGGATTTGTTGTTTCCTTTTCTTTATTTTTATGTTGCCTATAAATATACATGGTCTATGTATATTTTAGGTGGTGATTTTTATGAGAAGGAAAAAGGAATAAATTTTCTCTCTCTAGAAAATTAGGGTTTATGTTCTCATCTAATGGAGGCTCCCACAAGCCTAGTTTTCCAAGGTCATTCATGGGGGCATATGAGTGATTCCTAAAGGCAAAATAATTACCAAGAAGATGGAGATCCAAGGAGAAGGCATCTTGCTAAGGGATCTACAATAAGTGAGAACATTCACTTTAGAGGAAAGTTTTAAAGGTTTACTCAGACCTTTGATGTAAGTATTCAATCCATTAATTGAATGATACATCATATTTTTATTTTTGCATAAAACTTGTCTCTATGTGATAAATCAAGATCTATGAATCAAAATCCCTCGAAAAGTTTTTAAAAACTTGCACGTTTCCCAACAGAATGGTAAGCTGGGGACTACCTTGGGAAGCTTGTTTTGGCGACGATATGAACTATTTTTGTGTGGGGCAGTCATTAGCAGTCATTTGCTCTTTAACAAAGACGAGTAAAAACAAAATTGTGGTGCAGTCATTTTTTAATTTATTTGTGCAACATTGAGTAAACAATTTTTTGTTTTTGGTTTCATGAGGAGTTGAAGATCGACAATCTTCAAATAATATATATATATATATATATATATATATATATATTTGAGATGACAAATCTGGTGGTAGTATGATTCAATAATTGTGCCAAACATAAGGTAGGTAGATATATTATGTAAGGATATTACTGTACACTCGTAATAGCATGAGTTTGATCATTTTGTCTCCAAAGAGGTACTATGTATCTAAAATCACTTGAAGGACTCCACAAAATGAGGTTAACTAAACGTCTTTTTATTTTTAAATTTGTTCCTTCAAAGTCATTCTTAGAAGCCCATTATACTAAAAGGACTTTTTACATCCGAAAGCCACGCCAAACAAGGCCAATTTTCCTTTCTTTTACTTTTACTTGCACTTTCTATCATAAATTTTTATCTAACCAAACTATATAGGTCGGTTATTACTTGCTCATATGCTAATGTAAATACGAGCTTTATGAATCATTATCAAGTTTATTGCATAATCAAAGCCATAATAACAAGAGCAACACTGGGAGAATGCTTAGGAGAATGCTAAGGGGTCATGGACGTTAAAGTCTACAATATCCAGGGTACCTATGAGGTTTTTAACTGTCCAATGTAGTAGTAAGAACTACTTGATGGATGATTTAACTGTTGAGAGACCATAGGGTATAGTACCTCCGGAGTATTATACACTTTCTCGTCGTAAAAGTTATATGAATAAAAGAAAAATATCATTGTCTTACTTGGTTTGTAACTCTGAAAATAATTCTCAAGAATTTAGAGAATAAAAAATAGTTTTTAGAGAATAATAAAAGACAATTCTCTTAAAATAAATTTTTTTATAATTAAATTTTTAAAAATTTGAATCAAGTACAGTTTTTGTACAATTTTTGAACCATGCACAGTTTTTGTACCGTCACACTAAGGTCGCATCACTCTAGAACCAAAAAAAAAAAAAAAAAAAAAAAAGGAGGGGATTGTCGGCTGTTTTGGCTGAACCATCTCTCTCCTCACATATGTACATATGTAAATATCTAAGTCAAAAGTCAAAATATCTTCTGTGGACCTCACAAAAATCAGAATTACAAAAATGCCCCAAAATTATAAAATATCTAAAAAATAATAACACAAATAACCCAAAATAAAATATGATGTCCGTAATATCTCAAATTAATTATATAAGTCCAAAATAATCTCAAAACAATAAATGCAAAATGTCAAGAAAAATTCCAGAACACTTGACCCAGTTCGGACCCGAGGCCCGTAAATGACGAAAATATATATATATATAGTGAAAAATGAAAAAAAAAAAAAAAAAATGGCAAGTCCTTACATTTTGTACCTCATATAATTTTTTAATAAAGAAAATAGGGTAGATTACACTACTTTCCTAAGGTTTCGGCAAATTGTACACGAATATACCATTTAGTGTTTATTACTTTGACATTTCATGATATTTGGTGCATGTACTCAATGACACTCTTATCGTTTTCTTTTTGGCCAACTTGTTGAACAAATTTTATAAAATGATAGTTTTACCCTTCCCTTGTATAAAATGCAATATAATATATTGTTATAATATAAAGGCATTACTAAATATTCTTACACAAAGTTACTTTCCGACCATCGGTTTAGGAAAGGATAGAGTAATTTATATTGAACGATTTATCCATATATAATTTGTCTAAACTTAAGGAGAGATCAGTGTAATTTACCGAAGAAAATAAAACAATTCCCCTCTCAAGAATGGAGTCTAAAGCCAAGAAGAAGAAAAAGAAGAGGGGTTAAAATGATAACTTAATGGTTGTAAATAACAAAAACAAAATAAATAATTAGGAACTCCTTTATTTTTATTTATGCTTCAAATCTTTATACTCAAAGCGATAAGAAAATTAATATATGTAAAAAAAAAAAAATTCAAATCCATTATCTTGCAAATATCTTCCCTTTAGAAAGGATAGCATAATCATTACTTGAAGGTTATCAAATTCCTTTTCTCCCTCCCATTTCATCTCATTTCTCTAATATTTGCAAAACTAATTACCAAACGCACCCAATGTTTTCAGCCCTTGAATTATGTGATTGAACCCAACCAAAGATTCAAAACTCTTAATTTATTAAGAAAAGTGCCTAAATTATGTGATTGGAATCTAATCAAAACTTAACATATAAGAAAAATGAGCCCCAACGGTGCCCGATGCGACTATAACTTTACAGCGTAGCCCTGGTAACACTGAATCATGAACTCCTTCTCCCGCATAAAGTAAACCGGTGAAGAGCCATTAAAGAAGACTTTTATAGCTTTCTTTGCTATTTGTGTAAACACCTCTTCGCTTCACTTTATTCTCATTAGTTTATTTTTATAAATAAATTAATTAATTAATTGTTAATCCTTAATAGGGCACTCTTCTCCAAAAACCACAGATCTGATTTTATCCAATTCGCATCAGATTCTCCCAATTCACAGGTTTTATCTCTCTCACTATATTTTAGATATATGTTGAATTGTGAAATTAGGTGTGTGTGATTGGTTGATTGATTTATAGGGTTTTGTGATTTTATGCGTGGAGTTTGATAGTCTGGAATCCAAATATTGAATGGCTTCGTCATCGAGCCCACCGGAATTTGACTACTTGTTCAAGTTGTTGATGATTGGAGATTCTGGAGTCGGCAAGAGTAGTCTGCTTCTGAGTTTCACTTCCGACACCTTCGAAGATCTCTCTCCTACTATTGGTAAGCATTGCATTTTTTATCTATATATGTATATTCTGGATCCTTCTAGTATATATATATATATATTGTTGTTAATGTTTGATAATGCAAAATTGATAATTGGGTTGCTATGGAAGACCGAAATACCATGATAGATGGGTGAACGATTGTGTATGATAGTTAAATATGTGCACTCTGACATGTTTCTATGCAAATTGCAAACCAGTGTTGATGTAGTTAAATGGGATTTGTTGATTGTAATAATATGCACTGTGGTTTGGTTGAAGCAGTTTCAACAATTTTAAAAATTGGCTTGTATAACCTCATTTCCTATATCTGAAATAGTACACCATTTCTTGTGTTCGAAATTGTTTCCCTTGCTGAGAATCATGCCTATGTTTCTTTTTTGATAAGTACGAATCATGCCTATGTTGATAATGAATTAATGCATTTAGTACTGCTTCAGCTGGTTGTCTTTAGGGTTTTCTTTCTTTATTGATAGTTGAAATACAGTGCTCCCTAATAACTCCAGTTGAATTAAATGTTCTCACACACATCATATTTTTGTTGTCGTGTCTGCAACATTGGCATGAGTATGGGTTATGAACAGTTTGTGCAACCCACACACTGCCACTGCTGCGATCTTAACCATTTATCACTTTCATCTTATCTAATTTAATTGCAGATAAAACTTAGTTTGTCATATTTTTCCTCCGATGGGCTATGAGAATGGGAAAATAGTTTACTTGATAAGAAAAGAGAGTTGGTTCATGGCACCTTAAGAGTCATATTCTTGAAAAATCTGGAACTTGCAAAAGTAGTGATGGGTATTGAGCAGATTCACAATATTATTGTGCCCTTTTTGGATATTTCATAACTATTTATTTATGAATATTGGTCCGAATATTGATACATGGTAGAATAATAGAAAGCTAGGAGAAAAAACAAACGATGGATCCCACCCTAGATTGGATTAACTTCTATATTTACATTTTTTCTTAAAATGACTGAAATTACAATATTATATCTATCATATTATTATATTTCAAGGTTCTCCTTCAAGCTCGAGTATAGATATCCACTCATATCCATCTTGTGGGTATTTTAATGAATTGATCTAAAGCCTTAATAAATAGTAAATACATCAGCTAACTATCTATCTCTCATACTTGACCTGCATAATGTAACTTGTTTCTTCATCACCATATCTCTAACGAAACCATGATGAACCTTTATATGCTTTGTCGTTTCACAAAATGCATGATTAGTGATGAATGGACTAGCTTGAGTATCACATTTCATAAGTTTATGAATTGTACATCCCGTGTTGTAAAATGAAGACTCCATCAACATCATTTTGCAAACAATACAAGCCATGTTTATATTCAGTTTCAGCAGTAGACCCAGTGACCACACTGCTTATTATTCTTTCACATAACTAGAAGCTTAAACACAAGACCTTTCCCAGGTTCCATTCACAAGCTTCAAAATGAAAACAGTTCCCCGATGTTCTCAGCACAAATTGATTTACAATCCTATGACCTCACATCCTGCTTTTGAGATGTACTAGCCTCAAGGAGTACATAACATAATCTATCTCATTTCAAGCCCATGACATGCTAATAATTTCAATAGAACTTAGTCGATATACAACTCTACTTCATAACAAGTATATCTATTTCACTTGTGATTATGTGTCTGTTTGAAGCCTGGACTATGATCTCCACCATGATCAAAATCATTATTCCGAAATTAAAAGTTTTATGACCCATATTAACCCTGATTGCAATTATCATGGCCTTTGAAGGAACCTTACCGACTCTCTGGATTAACCAAGGCTAAGTTGTTTCTCCCTGAACAGTCTGAAGAAGATAAAGGATCTACTAGAATTTGAAGCAACTGCCCATGCAGATCACTTGAAAGCATCACCCAGAGGCTTGTCACGTTGCTAAAAAAGAAGAAACATATCATCATAAACCATAGACATGTTCTTCATGGGAAACATTTTAATATGTTACGGCCAACTATTTACAACGGAAAGTCGCATTAAAATGCTAAAACAACTTATTTATACTCTAAAATGCTACCTAACAGATTACAAAATTATGACTATCTGGCAAACAACCATCTGTGATGAACATCAAAACTCAAACGAAGAACATTGAAAAGTACCATATAAGCGATATTAATTTTGCATGGAAGAAGACACAATTTTTTTGAAAATCAACTCCAAATAATCGCAATAATGAAGTAGCACTTGTGAGTTATGCAGCGGAATAGGATGTGGAAGTTTATATTAAAAATAACCTAGATGGGTGGTGAATAGGTTTTACTTGCTCTTTTATGTAGTTTTTACTTATTTTAATTTTACTAACATAAAACTAAAATCAAACCCACAAAGCAAAAATAAAGTGCTAGTAAAGTAAATGAAGTTTGAGAGATGACACCATGATTTTTAGCGAGAAAACCCCGACTAGTGGAAATCAACCAATCGTTATGGGAAAAACCTCGTGGACTATGTTGTGTAGAGCAAAATGATCCACTATGTTTGAAGCAAAGTACACTGAACTTTGACTCAGGCTCACACCCTATCATTCTATCAAAAACCAATTGCTAACATTCCCTGGCTTTGCGACTCTCCCGTCCAACAACTCTCGACCTCAGGCTTAATCTTGATCTCTGTAGAAGGATTGCTAGTAGATCAAACAACACTCCACGAATGCTTTGAACCCTTCAAAGTATGATCGTTTTACCTTTTTTCTTTAAATCTGAATTTGGTGAAGAATGAATGAATCTGCTTTCTCTAATCATTGTAGATGCAATATTTAATAGAGTTGAACACGATCAGGATTTGAACAACACTCTAAAATCACTCATGTGTATATAGTGTGCATGCTCTTAAAAATCTCACAAAAAGGCTTTTAAAGAAATCAGAAGTTTAATGCAAAAAGCCACACCAACCTAGATGAGAAAACATGTTTATATAGACTTTTTGGAAAGAAGTCTATACCAAATAGAAAGTTTAAACAGATCAGGAAACTAAGTTTTCAAAATTTTCTAAAGTCCTTGAACTGGTTCAAGGAGGTTGAACCGGTTCAAGTTGGTCAGTGTTGAAAAATTCGAAGTATTGAAACTTGAATCTGTTCAGCTGCGTGAAACCAGTTCAAGTTGACCAAACTTGAACTGAAGGTTAACACTTAGAAAATTTTGCAGTTTTGAAAAACAATTCATGTATGCAAGTGTCCTAACCTTCCAACTCAACTTCCTAAAGTGTTGTTCTTACCTTTTCGTAGACTTCAAGCTATCAAACACGAACAACTCTTCAATTCAACAACCGATCTCGATCTTGAATTTTAAACTTGGAAATACAATTTGATCGGACATGTTTTGACATCGAAATTAGCAAATGACAAAATAAATATCTCACAGCACTATCCAACCATGAAAAAACTCACTTCAGCAGCAAAATGCCATTTTGGACACACAAAATAAACAGCAACCAGAAGGTTCAATAATCAGAAAAGTGAATGCTCAAACTAGGGTTTTAGCATAGAAGTTGCATTAAAACTACACGACCACAACAAACTATTACACCCCTTTTAGCCTAGCTGGCCATAAGCGTTGATGTCCCTGCACTGTATGGACAAGCGGACAGGTGTACAGGAATCATTACACTCGCACGGGCTGCCACCTTTGTCTAGTCATTCTTCTGGTCTTTCAATAACATTGAAGGAAAAGGATTGAGGGGAAGAAGAACAAAGGTAAAATGAGGAAGAATAATCACCTGGTTGCAATATAGTGTCTAGTTGGATCATGGCTCTGATGCCATGACCTGAATGTTGATATTGAAGACAACTGAGAGCTGTGAGAGAACTGTGTACTATAGCTATTATTATTTGAAATGATTGAAATTACAACATTGTTCCTATAGCATGTTTATTTCTCAAGAAATATGTTCTCCTTATGCCGTTTCCACAATAATTTGTTTGAAATTTATAAATGTTACCTGTAAGTTTCTGTGAGTAAACTTGCCCTAAGCTAGTCCCGAGCAGGTGTGCATGTCAAAAAAGAGATGAATTTTTTTTGTGTGATCCCATTAAAAACTTCATTTAAGATCATGCGGATAGAATATCACTTTTTCTTACAGTTTATACAATAAAACTGATATATGCGGCTGATATGTGACCGTTGTTTCTCATGTCAGTTATAGCGGTTTCTTTGATGTCATGATTGGACTGATTATTTTCTCTGACTTTCTGCAGGTGTGGATTTTAAGGTAAAACATGTTTCTGTTGGGGGAAAAAAGTTGAAGCTTGCAATTTGGGATACAGGTAATGCTCCTTGTGTTTGTGATCTACTCTATCTCCATAATAATAAAAATGAAAGAAAAATACTTAAAAATGGTGTATCATATGTTTATTCTTTGTTCAGGATTTCTTACGCAGTTTTTAGGCATTTATTTTGATTTTCTATACTTTCTGCACCAGTGGCAGGATCCGTTTAGTGTAGCTAGGGATGTCCGCATTGATATTATCCAAATTCATTTGATAATGATGTCAACCATTTAAGACTGTTCATGCATTTATGAGCGATCAAATGATATTAGAAGTTAGTGTTCATGCTAAAGTAATTGAGGTTACTACAGACCGTCATCTGCTCGGATAATGAAATCTCAAAACCCTGTGCACCCAGTACACGTGAATATAATGATAATTAACTGTCATTAAAATTATCTAAAAAGAGAACTAAAGAACTATCATAACATATAGGATATGACCTGTGGGAATGGTAATAATTGAGGACCATGCATTCTCGGTCTGATTATAGTTTGTTATGTTTTAGTATATGTTTAGTAAATCTAGCAGTTAGATGTCTTGGCAATTTGTTTGAGGATGTGTGAGTTCATACAATTCGAAGGTGCAGAAGAGGGAGAGGAGGGGCAAATAGGACATGAATAGAATTAGCAAAAGAGATTTAAAATGTTTTGTTCTCCGGACGCGCTCCCCTTTTTGAGTGCCTTTAAAGAAAACATCCTTATAAAAATAATAGTACCGTTTGTAATGGAAGTTGCATCTTCAGTGAATTAGTCACTGTTAGGCTGACTCGTGAAAATTATTTCCACTGGATTTTCTGGGAACTTGTTTGCATACAGATTCCTGGAGCTGGTGGCTGAGCTCTTGATCCTCCAAGGCACTTGTAATCACAGTATACGCTGTTTGACTGTTAGGAACCCTTACGCAGGTAGATTTCAGCAGTCAAGAAGCCTATATATAGGAAGAGTTGATCTTGTAAACTGATAACAATTCCAAGCACATTTATGCTATATGGGATATAATTTTTTTTTTTTTTTTTTCTCATCTTATTCTTACTTCTCTTTTATTTTTCACCCCATCATTTGTTACTTTCCCAGAAAAGCGTGGTGACAGTCTTATCCTCTGTATACATCTCAACTTGCGCTGTGTTTGTTTGATGGAAAATATTTCTTCAGAGATTCTTCCTGTTTAAAAGAATTTAGGCTTTAGTCTAACAAGTATACTTTTGAAGCCAGTTGAGGTGTATTTAATTTCCCCCAAACTTCTTAGAGTTTTGATCAAGATAAATGGAACCTTAAACAGTATCTCTCTCTTTTTTTTCCTCAAAAAGCTTGACAAGGTTTTATTTTTCCTTTCAAACAAAGATAGCTTAAGGGACTTTGATCTCCTTCATTCTTCAATCTTCTGCCGCCTGTTTTTTTATGTAGAAAACCATTCAATCAGATGTTCTTTCACCAGCTGCATGTGTGGACATTATCTTTGTCAATTTTATTTGTGTAGTTTAAGTTTTTATAATCTTTCTGATTTTTATTTTTGAGTTTTTATGTTCTTAATCGTTCTTTTCCTTCCAGAAATTAGAATTTTTATTTTTATTTTTTTATTTTTTATGCCCAGCCCTTTTTATAATTAATAGTTAAAAGTTTGTTCCCAAGTCATTCCTCTAATGTAAAATTACTGAATTCAGAAATCTATATTGAGGTTAAAGAAACACAAGAACTATAATTGCATTATGTGATTGTATATGGTCTGGGCACTTCAACCAGCTGCACACGTGGACATAACTTTCTTTCTTTTCTTTTCTTTGTTTTTTTTTTTTTTTTTTTCCTGAATTTGGACATATCTTTTTGAACTGTGTTGAGCAAATTTTCAAGCTCTTAATCCTTCTTTACCTTACAGAAGTTATATTCCCTGCAAAATCTTCTTTCTTTCTTGATTTATGCTAAAAGGTTGATCCCCAAGACATTCATCCCATGAGTAATATTGATTTCAGAAATCTATTTTTGCGGTTAAAGAAACACAAGATCTTTAATTGCTTACTGCTTTGTCAAAAGTTTAATGGATTTGCAAAAAAATGTGATATTATGGTTTGGCATGTTCTGTTTCTTTGCAAATCCTGGTATTTTTATAATCTAATCGTTGCAAAATTTTCCTTTTTTTTAGGATTGATATTATGATCTTTTCCAAGTATGCATACATGCTTGTGGGTCATAACTCATAACTCATCAAATGGTTTCCGGTGCTATTGCGCATTTAGACCATTGGTTTGACTTGTAGTAGGAAGACTGTGAAGCATAAGGGAATATAAGTAAAGATCCTTAAATCGTCTAATTTATTATCATTGTAGCCGGTAAATCCTATGGATTACAGTAGAAGATGCAAAATATGAGAAAAAGATCAGATGGTTGGATTACTAATTTAAAAGCGCCAAAAGCTCCGACTCCGAGTATCATCCTTAAGAATGTTCGGAATGTTTGATTTTAGTTTTTGTTTATGTTTTTAAAGTTAGGTAAGTTAAGTTGAGTACCTGTCCAAGGGAATATTGGTGAATTCAAAGCTTAAATAAGGGCAAAAGGGTAAATTCAACTCTCAATATTGCATACTCGCCAATTTAGGGTTCATATGCATTCATTCATATTAAATATGTTGGGTTTTTTAATTTGAATATATTGATTCATAGAAACCTGTTTTAGAATGCATAAATCTGTTTTGGTAAGTTAACCTAATTGGAGTATGATTTGGTTGAGACTTGTTTAGGCTCAATCAATCAAGAGGTGTGTAAAGGCAATTTCCCAATCTGATTTGAACTTTTTAAAACCTAAACTTTTCCAGTCTCCAAGGTCTATAAATAAGACCCTATGCTTCAGAAAGCTTTCGCAAGCCTACAGCAACCATAGAGAGCATATAATGAACATAATATTTTTGTGAGACTTAGAGTGCATCCTAGAGATCCAATTGCTATGCAATGAACGCCCAAACTGGTCGACTAGTTGAGGATCTCAAAGCGTTTGTGAAGTAGATTGCATGAGGAGTGAACCTGTTGATGGAGCAGACTGAAGGCCTGGAGACTCCAGTGGAGAGTTTGGTGTTGGAGGTAACTAGGAATTTTTTAAGGTTTGGAAAACTGGTTTACCTAGATGTAGCATATCTCTCTGATAGTGGATTTGATTTGCCTGGACTGGGACCATGATTCTTAGTCAGGGTTTTTCACGTAAAAAAAATGATGCTCATGTGTGTGGATTTTTTATTCTTTATATTTCTGCACTCTACCTATTTTATATGCTTATTAATTGATAATTAGATTGAAGTTAATTGTGAAAATTGAAATTTGAAATTCGGTTAAAAACTTAAAGTTGGTTACTTCATAAGAAAAACCTATTTACCCCCTCTAGGTCTTGATTGGGCCTTGCACTAACTCTCACATCAGAGCCTTGGTTTACGGTCCTCGAGTTTGTCACATAAAAAACATCAAACATAAATTGCACAACTGGGTATGGATCTCTTGATTATTGAAGTCAGCAGAAAATTTTGGTCTGTATGTTAGGATGGAATATTACCACCACTTTTTCTTTGGGTTACATTTAATATGAATCCCCATGAAAGAGTTGAATCCGGCAGTGTCCAGAACTCTCCATAATTAAATTTGCTTGACATATGACAATGTTGTTCTCACTTTTTATCGTGCAGCTGGACAGGAAAGATTCAGGACATTAACTAGTTCATATTACAGAGGAGCTCAAGGAATAATAATGGGCAAGTTATTTTCTTTCTTCTGCATTTGTCCCTGTTTATTTATTTCCTCTGGCAATTTGATTTAATATTTGTGCCTTCAATGTCAGTATTGATATTTGAAATTCCTCAAGTTGTTTGATCATAAACCTTGATCTGTCATGATTGGTTGAAAGAATCGCATCATACATGGATTTATTTTCCTTTTAATACCCATTTCATATACCAGGTATTCATTTATTGCCTTCTGAATTCTGAAAATGGAGGATGTTCTCTTTTAGTAAATCATCTCTGTACAAGATTCAGGAAGCTGTGACCAAAATGAACTAATTTGTCCTTTCTGTGAGTTTTTATGCAGCTCATCAGGACAGTGATTGTGTCTGAAGAGTTATGGCATTTGTTCACGTTTTCAATTCACTCCATCAGAATATAGAAATATGTATTTGTCGCTTCTGGTCTTAATTATATGGTGTGATATGTAACCCTCCATAGTTTATCATATATAACCTGAACCCTTTCTGCTTGCCAACTTCATCCCAACGATTTATTTTCTGCCTTACGGAACTAGAAAGTTTATTGCTGCTGAAACTTTTCTATTTGTTTACAGAATCCATTTTGAGAAAGAGACAATGGTAACATATTTTAAATTTGTCTATTCATCAGTTTATCCTTATTACGAGCGATTAGTAAGGTGCAATTTTCCTGGTACCTCTTGTGGCCATGATTTTTTGTATGTACGTCTGATTTTCATTTGACTTTTTGTATTTAACCTTCACGAAGATTTCTACTTTATTAACTGGTAATACTAGGATGTGAATGGATCCATCAGATAGGTAAATCGTACTTTTGCTTTGGCGTATATTTACATGATTTAAGAATGAATATAATGACTACTGTGGTAGCATTTAGACCAAGGAGTGTATTCTATTGCAACACAGGAGATAATTTCTCAGAATAAAAATTGTTCTGGCAGTTTGTTGATTCTAATCCATGGAATGTGAGTTATGTGATACTTATTGTAGTGGGGAAAAAAAAAAAAAAAAAAATCATTGGTGTAGGTTTTAATTGGCACCAATGTCCTTTCTGGCAAATTCTTGGTACTAGATGACTTCCATTTCCTAGAATTCCTGAATTTTTGTTGAAGTTTGATGTTGTGCTCTTGCAATTTTGTTTGTACTGTGCACTTTCATTTCTGCGTTTTATTGGTATAATCCTCTAACATTTTTCTCAACTAAATAATATTTATTTCAGCTGGTTTCTGCCGGTGGTTTGTCCTAATTCTTCTTATTAGAAGCTTCCACTTCTTCTCGAAGTTTTAAATCCCAAGTTATTGTGTAAACCTAACCAATTACTTTTGGAAATTGGTACAGTTTATGATGTAACACGACGAGAAACATTTACGAATCTATCTGATATATGGGCTAAAGAAATTGACTTGTACTCAACAAATCAGGATTGCATCAGGATGCTTGTTGGCAACAAAGTTGATAAGGTATGGCTTTTAGAAATTTGCATCTAGAGCTCTTTTATCTTTACCCCTTGGGTGCTACAAGAAGTTTTTTCCAATAATTTTTACACAATTGAATTACTCATCTGCAAGAGATTGGGTTCAGAGTTTTCTTTGTGTTATGAATTTATAAAATGTGACATTTTCTTTTTGTAAATTTAAGCAAATTATAAAATGTGACATTGTTGGATAATATGATGATGCTTGTGCCATATTAAGGTTAATGCCTACATCTTAATTTGTCTTTCTCAGGAGAGTGAAAGGGTTGTCACCAAAAGAGAGGGAGTTGACTTTGCTAGGGAATGTGGATGCCTTTTCATTGAATGTAGTGCAAAAACTCGGGCCAATGTGGAGCAATGCTTTGAGGAACTTGTTCTGAAGGTATACAAATATGCTAGCATATTTTCCCAGGTTTGTTTATTATATGATCATCAAGTGTCCCTCTGTTCATGTTGCCTTGTTTTGGCCATGACTTGAGGTACGGGTTTGGATCCATATAAGTGGGTTAAACTCCAAGGATAGTAACTTTATTTCAAATATGCCCAAACATTTTTCTTTTTCTGTTAGTGAAATGTTGGGTCCACTTGCATTCACCAAAATGGTGAATTGATGTAAGTTGTAGTATGAGAGAGAGTACAAGGAATTGACCATGTATTGTTCGTTAAGGATTACAAGCAGAGGTCATTATTTTACTATTAGGTGCTAAAGGAAGAAGGCTTCTACCCCATGGTCACTATGCCCTCACCACGCAAGCCTCGGTCTAATCATTTCTTTTATCCTTTAAAAAAGAAAAAGAAAAAGAAAAAGAATGGGTTCAAAGCATTTTATTATTAATCACTCACTAAATTATTTGTTGTTTGGATTAATTGGATCCATATTGATACGCATGTGATGTCCTGTCAACTTACTTTGCGGGATTTATATTCTTTTTTTTGTAACTAGGCCTTTAAGGTAAACATGAAAATTTTGGCAATTGCCACACAAATTTATAAGAGACTTGAAATTTGTAATTTGAAATTCAGAACAAAAATGGTTTCACAAATATTTGTTACAGTGTTACCTCAGTATATAACTCGTGCCAATTTCCATGTTTCCAACACGTGGATTAAAAAAGGTCTTGGTAGGGGGGATGGTGGTGCCATATTGAATTATAAAGTACATCATTTATTCAAGATAATTATGCTGAAATAAGTAAAATTGTGTTAAAGACCCTATGAAATACATGTATGTGGAAAATGTCTGCGTATTAGTGAAGTTACATTTACCCAGGAGGATGGTTATTAGGTCAGCTATATTGTATAGACCCTAGTGTTGGACGTTGAAAATGAAACAAGAACAATGCATTCAAGTAGTGGAAATGTCCAGAATTGAAGTGACAAAGAGGCATGGGATGAAGTAATTAAAAATAATTTTTTTTAAAATAAATATTAGAGGAGAAATGATTATAATAGGAAAGAAAGGAAAAAGAGAATTCATGTGGCCGACTCCATTCATTTGCGAGAAAGGCATGGGTGATGTTGACGATATTTACAATGAGGTCTGTGAGAGTCCTATAGGAGTATATTGGCATGCAGTATTTGATTGCAGGCATGGATGATATGATGAGTGTAACCTTTCTGTTTCTAGGTATACTTGGAGCACTCTTTTTCTCTATCAAATAACATGAAGTGATCCATTTAGCTATGTATAATAAACATTATGATAAGTTGTTTTAGTAATTTAACATCTTTCCATGTTTTCATCCTCTATAAAGTATACCAAAAATAAAAAGTAAGGGGGAAAAACTGTAAATTGGGATGACCTTAAGACATATACTCATATAGTGATATTGGGTGTGAGCCAGCTTCTCCTGTCAAAGAAACGAGATTTCTTGTAACTTTATGTTGTTAGTTATTGATTATTTATTCTTTAAGAGAGAAAATATGTTGTTAGTTATTTATGTTTCTCTGTTTGCCAGGAAGAAAACAAATAAATAAATAAAATACATTGTACCTTTTCTTTTATATTATTTTTTTAAATTGTGTTTTGGACAAGTTGCCACTCTCCTTATTCCCTTTTTCGCCCTGTTGGGTTGGTATCACTGCTACTCTGTATCTTACCTGGCATTTCCACTTAGCATTTATTCTTACCTACTTATTGCAACTAAGGTAGTTAACTGTCGCATGATATATTTTTAGATGCTTTGTAGTATGTACCCAGTGGTAGTGGCATAAGAAATGTTTCTCATTTGTGTAATTTCATGATCATTTATCTCATGAGAAAAGAGTACCTTTCTCTCTCTCTCTCTCTGTGCATGTGTGCGCGTGCGCTTGCATGCATGTAGCCTGTGTGTGTGTGTGGTGTTTGTACGTGTGCATGTCCCATCAACTATAAAATTGATTCGGTGACAACATTTCTTGTGATCATAATTCAATTCCTATGATATCTAATTAACATGACGGTAAGCATTAAGTTAATGTTGTATCACTTTTGATCTGCAGATTTTAGAGACTCCCAGTCTTTTGGCTGAGGGCTCAACTGGTGTCAAAAGGAACATCTTTAAACAAAAACCTCCAGAGGCTGCTGATGCATCAGCTAGCGGGTGTTGCTGAAGGTGACGGAGACTATCCCTACTTGTCAACAACTTTCGCTTGTCCATGCAGCGTTCTTATTTCTTTTTCTCTATTTGATCCAAAAGGCTTATGTGTAATTGATCTCTGACCCAAATCTGTATATTTAATTTCAAATGTCTACGTATGTTTTGATCAATTTATCTTCTGCGCTCTCCGAATACAGTTCCTATACAGTTGTTTCACAGCAATATTTCCCATGAATTCGGGTGAATTTCAATGAATTTAGGTGGTTGTCAAAAAGATTCAAAGTGGGTGATTGATTTGAAGTGTGAATGGATGGGAGACAAGTAAGGAGCCCAATGCCTTTCTTTGGAGTAGGTATTCGGGGTGCACCGGGCACATCGGGCATGGTCAGTCACGATGGCCCGGTGCACCGGGCACATTGTATATCTTTTCCGCTCCTTTCTCTGATGCACAACATGTTGAGCTATATAGATTTTGTATTGCATTAGAAAGAAATGGACGACACTTTTTTTTTATTTGTGGTTGTAGACAATGTTCCTTTTATTGGTATGTTTATGGGTACCTTTTAATTGCTTAAAAAACAGTTTTCAGCGGTGTTTTAGGTTTCATTTGGTCCTCTCCCCATTTCCATTGGTATTAAAAAATTGAAAAATTAGTTGGGTGCAATTATTGGTTTTTGTGATATTTGTATAGCCAGAATACTTCACAAGTATGGTCTATGGTTTCTGCAAGATGCATATATTGTTCCGAAATTTAGTTTTGACGTCCCAACATTTGAAGCTGCATTCATGGTAAAGAGACAAAGTCATTGTGTGTGCGTGTTTTTTTTTTTTTTTTTTTGGCAAGAAACACACGCCAAAGTCGTCCTTTTAATTTTTAAGAGCATAGAAAACTTAAAATTCTAGAAAATTCATTTGACAAAATATTTTCTGAAAACTGTTATTTCTTAAAGCATAAATAACAAAATTTTTATTTCAATGATGTTTTTCTTTTTGTATTTAACCATGCACCCATGATGAATTAATTGTATTGACCTTTATAATATGATAGCATTCGGAATCGAAAGAACATATTAAGCAGACAGAATTTTAAAATTAGTTTTACTATCTTGTCAAGCAAACAGAAAAAACTAAAGAACAGAACAAATATGTAAGGAATGAGAAAATCTCTGTGGGGAAGGGGTTTTTCTCTACAACTGTAATGAACAGAATGCTTTATTCAACATTAATCCCAACTATTTTGAAGATAATAGAGGGTAAAAAAACTTAATTATAAACAAATAAATAGTATGGTATATAGCAGCTATTGAATTACACAATTACCCCCACCACATTTACACACAGCGAGGAAGAAAGATCATAGATTGCGAAAAAGTCTACAATACCTCCGCCCCGGGGGGCTCTATTTATTTTGAAAACTCTCTACTCTCTATTATCAATAAAAACACCGAATGCTTTCTCTGAAAATAGAGAGCATTCATTGAGAAGGATATCACATGTCAACATATCCCGAAGTATTGTATATATTACACGCGAAACTCCTTTTTAAAGGAAAAGAAGAGACTTCCGAGACTCCAAAATTAAAGAAATTATTATATGGTTCCGGCCTATCACAACCTGACACACAAGAAAAATAAATAAATAAAGCCGACACATTTGCTTGCGTGCCAGCTTATGATTACCCTGTACCATGTAATAATTTCTCGAAAAACCAAGATCCAACCAGCCTAATCTTTCCAACTCACCCAAAATAGACATTGACCAAAAACCAAGTCAAACACACCTCATGTATAACACAAGCTCCACATATCCATTTACAACCCAAAAATGAGAAACCTCAAGATATATCACTTTCACAATAGCCCCACAGAAATAAAGCCTCAAGAATTTGAAGCTTGTACATATACATGTATTTCTAATTTTCTACTTAAGCATTTGATGTTTGTTGGAGATAGAAAAAGGCAATGTCACAATTTGTGAATTTGGTGCTATAACTGCTATGTATGGTATAACAGAGCTGAACCCAAATAATAATAAAATTCAGTGTGATTTTGTTTTAAGAGTAGATGTTTGTCAAAGAAAAAAATAATTGGCGAGAGAGAGAGAGAGAGAGAGGGGTTAGTACTATGTACTCTCTTTATAATTCGTATAACTCGACATTCTAGCAAAAAAAACAAATTTAATCCACATGACTTTCTTTTCAATCCACATTAGTTGATGCTAAGTGGGAAAAAAATAATAATAATAATTGTTGCCAAAAAATAATAATAATAATTGTTGCCAATGGTGAGTTAACTGTGTGAATAACTTATTTATTATCTCTATTTTTTTTGGTAAATTTATTATTAGGGCAAATTGCAAAAAAAAAAACCTTAAACTTTTTATCATTTGCAATAAACCCTCTTTTTGATTTTTTTTTTTAGCACAAAACCCCCTCAACTAATGGGAGGGGTGATGGTCTATCTTTTGAGACTAAAATGCCCTTAACTACGAGCATCGCAATATAAATACTATAATAACATTAGCAAAAGCTTTTCCTGCCAGGTGAACTTTTATGCATCATAAAGAAATTGTCGCAAATTTTGTACGTGCTGCGGCTTGTGGGTGACTTTTGTAAACTTGAAATTTCTAGATTATTATTTTTTATTTTATAGGAGAGAATAAACTGGTAATAAGCATTTTTATTACTTCATCACCAGGTTAAGGGGGGTTTTAAAAAGTTGTTCTTTTTTAATTTTAAATTTTTTACTTCGGCAACACTATTAGTGTGGGCTCAAGCCACCCTTATTTATACGCTGAGAGAGCTAGCTGATCAATTTTTGGACACATTAGAACTTTTGTGGCACGGATCTAATACGATACGAATACATTTATACATCAAATTTTAAAAAAATAAGAAATGAATACGAGATGAACACGACTACATATAAATATAAATTTTTATTTTTATACATCTATTCAGTAATAGTATTATAAAACTTTATTTCATTTATAATTTTTATACTAAAAGTCAAGGACGGATCCAAAAAGTTGTGGGAGGGGGGCAAAAATGAATTTAGTGCATTTTTTAATTATGTAGCCCATATGATTTGAACATGTGATATATTTTATTAATTAGTGGTTAAGTAAATAGATATCATATTAATATTATATTATTTGGTCAACTTATTAAATTACCTTTTTGATAATTAATTATTAGAGAAGTGTTTTTTTATTTATTCATTACTTTAATGAAAAGTGGAATTAAAGTTACTAAAAGCAAAACTGGTCATCTTTCTGCCTTTATAAAAATGCATATTCCCATCAGTTATGTACGTTAATGAAATAACACGTATAATGTTTATGTATGCAAAAGGTTAAGAGAGAGAAATCAGTTTCCACACTTTGACTTGCAGTTAATCATGTTGTTCGTTACGCAGAAAGGATCTCGACGTTTGCCTTGATATCTATGATATTTGCAATTACAGATCGAGGTATTTATATCTAACTATTTATTTATACATTATAGGTATGTGAGAATAATGAAGTTCTAGGATTTGGGATTCATATTTATTTGTGATTAATGGTTTGTACGAATAATTAAAATTTACACGTGGTATCAGAGCTTACGATATATGAACTCATTATTTTCCATTAATGTTGCGTAGGTTTAAATTAAAATTAAATAATTTAATTTATTAGATTTGACTTATATATAGACATGTAACGCATGCACTTTTATATAGTCTCATGGAACTGTTTGTGCGTGGGTGTGATTTTGATCAATTTATGCGCAACAACAGTTAATTTTGGTGTGCGTGCTTGGATTTCCAAATCTGATTGAATTGTTTTTCGCATACGTTGTTTGGGTGCTCACAGTGGCAAGTGTTATGATGAAATTGATATCATTGTTATTACCGTTATTATTTTAATGGAATCTTAAAACAATCGTTCAATTGAAACTTATGATCACACAACTGAAGTAATTACTTATACAAGTATACACATATGTATAATAAGACAAACAATGTGTTAATTCATGTATTTGCTTTTTTTATTTCCTTGCATGAAAGAAATAGCAATTTGGTTTGAAAACTGTTAGTAGCTAATCATTTTGTTACTGTTTTCATGAAATCAATTTGCATATCAATTATTGTAATTATATTTTATTAATTATTTAAAAATTAATAAATTATGAAATACATAAAGTATGTGTATTTATTTAATTAATTAAAAATTTGTATTTTTAGAATAATACGTGAGTCTAAAATTTAATTTAATGTTATTGGACATGCAAATAATTATTGTTTTGTACCCGTACATACATATATATTTGAGAATCAATTTTAAATTGATTCAATTATAATCTTCAAGTCCAAAAAATAAAAATAATATGTTTTATTATGTATATAAATAAAATGATATTTTATTAAATTTTTGGACTATTAAGTTTTTTGGATCAAACTTACTAAATTTGGATCGATCAGTATGAGTATATGTGTATAATGTTAAATGGATAACTTGATGATTAATTAATCACTATTTTATTTTATATTCATATTATGTGAAAATTGGTAGCTACTAAAGTGGTCTAATCATAATGATTGATGAATATTAATTTTTGTAGTAGATATAATTAGTGATGAACTAGTTATTAGTTAATTTAATATTCATATTATGTAAAGGTTGGTAACTACCAAAGTGGCCCAACCATAATGGTTGATGAATATTAATTTAGTGGTAGACATAATTGTAATATTTCATGAATTATGATGCTTATGATTTTTTGTGATATTCATGAATATTGAGTTTATTTAATTATGAAAAATAATTCTCCAAAGGGGATTGATTTTTTAGTGATTAAATGAAAATTAAGAGATTGTATGTATTTTTTAATTAGGTAGATATAGGATATCCAAAGATAACTTATCTGTTTAATTAAATAACGCATCACCAACGAAGGTATACATATAAATACAAATAAGCATCATTATTAGTATTTTATAGTTACCACCAAAGAGGTACTATAATTATACATTGTATTTATATTTTAAGTTATCTATAAGTGTTATTAATTTAAAACATTATTGTTATGAGCATTTTATCTTATTATATTTGTTTTATTACATCTCTTAATTCGCATGCTACATCTGTTCTCTTTCTCAATAGGACTAACTTCTCATAATGGAATAAATAAGCTAGTTCAAAATTTATGAGAGATCGAACAGATTAAGCATTATGGCTATACGAATAATTGTTCCCCATAGTGATAGTGTTAAGGAATATTTGACTAAAAGAATGTTTTTGTATTATAGATAAATATCTAAAACGAAAATTATTGATTGATATCGCTACTATGCATTTTTTTTGTTAGTACTCGTACCATGTATGAACATATTTTTGAGATGACTAATGTTGCTACAAATTTGAGAACCTTATGGATGATTGTAGATGAGAATTTTCTTATTCAATTTATTCTCAATTTCTTATCTACTCAATATGGGTAATTTCAAATTAACACTATTTAGACAAGTGAAGAGTGAATTAATTGACCATTATGTTAATTTAGGAATAGACAGGCTTAAGTAGCAAAGTAATCATTATATTCATTTAATGACTCAAGAAGTTAGAAAGAAATTTGAAAATAAGTCTGAAAAGATATTAAGTGAGTAACACCCAAAATTAAAAGATTTAAGTAAATCTACTAAAAGAAATGAATGTAATAATGCAAAAGTGTTATTTATATATTGAACACTTTTAGAAAGATTACATGAACCATAAAGATGATTCGAAAAAGAATAGTAAGTCTTTGGCTTTTATATTTTTTCAATTATTTATTAAAATTATTTCTAATACATGATAAGTTGATTTAAGTATTAATGTTTATGTTTCTATTAGATGTAAGGATTTCTTATGACCTAAACCACAAATTCAAATGAGAATTTCTTATTTATGAGTTTTTTTTTTTTTAAAAATAAAAGTTTTGTTGAAACCATTATGATATTATGTTTAGTGTTAGACAATGGATTTTATTTAAATTGTTTTAAACTTTTTATGTTTATTCAATTTCTCTCAATTTGATTTTATTTCAAAACTTTATGTTAATGATTTTTCCTTTAGGGTATGTTTGGTGCGTAAGAATGGAATGAGACATGAATGGAATGCAAGTGGGAATGGAATGGGAATGATATATGAATGGAATGATTATTCTCATTCCATTATTTGGATACAAACAGAGAATGAAATATCCATTCTCATTTCCACGTTTGGTTAGATCAAATAAAAAGCTGGAATTGAATGATTTATAAATTGGTTTCTCCAAAATACCCTTACTTGTAATATATCAGTTATATTAAAATAAAATGACATATTCTTATTATATAATAAAACTGGCTTATACCAATTAATGCATTTTTATAAAATGCAAATATATATATATATATAGACCATACTTGGCCTACAATAACATAAACATTAAAAAAACCAAAATTTAGAGAGACCCTAGAAAGATTTTCACATGCGAGACCCTTACAAATTGGAGGCACATGTCCAATTTGGCTTTCCAAATTGGAGGCCCTAGGCGACCGCCTAGGCTGCCTATGCCTAAGACCGGCCTGCCCTTATGGAATTCAGGATAAGTAACATTTAATTGGTCTCAAATTGGTTTATGAAGGAATATAAAATAAATTTTAAAACTCTTTGTCCTGATTTTCCTTGATTCTTATAAATAAAATGCGAAGTAACTCTGAATTGAATCACTTCTTTGTAATTACCAAATGTCCTCTTGGTTATAGGTTTTCTACCCAACTGAAATAAATATGAAGCTCCTTTTTTATATTTGATATTATAATTAATGTACAAAATTTGATATTAAAGTATTATATATGTTAATTTTGAAATAGTCTTTGAACTGCGAAAATAAACCTCCTTATACTTTTAGAGCATAAAAATAGAGAGACGATATTCTAAACATTAATCAAATCATGAAAAAAAGAGAGAGAAAACTCCACCATGGAAAGACTGATGCAACTCAAGTTTTTAAGGGCTTATTTGATTCCGTATTTGAAAACAGTTTCTCAAAAATCATAAAACTATAAAAGACATTTGTTTGAAAATATATGATTTTTCAGAAAACTTCTGCAAAACAAGTTTTTGTATAATTTTTTGATTTTTAATTCTTTGAAATTAGAAAACTATTTTCAAAAAAATGAACCAAACAAACTTTTATCAATTTTTCGAAAATAGTTCTCAAAAATTGAGAAAACAAAAAATTATGAAAGAACTCTCTCTAAGCAGACTTCTAAAAAAAATTTCAAGAAAAACAGTGACCAAAATAATTTCTGCACAATTTTCTCAAACAAAAAACTATTTTTAGATACAGAACCAAACAAATCTTTATTGTAGCTACATTTTTTTTGGGGCAAAGTACAAAAAATCCCCCTCGACTTGTAACATTTTCTCAATAAATCTCATTGTCTAATTTTTTACCAAATAACCCCCCTCAACTATTTGAAGGGCGTAAAAGAGTTGATATTTGGACCAAAATTCCTTTTTATTTAAATTTTAATTCTCCGAACTTCAAAAATTCATATCTCACAAACCGTACATTTAAAAATTATAAATAATATATGCACGAAAAATTTATGAAATAAGGATTCCAAAAATATAACATTTGTATAATAAGATAACTAGGGAAAAATAGGCAATTTAAAAATCTACTCCAACAATCTTATTTTATTTTTAAAAAAATAAAATATTCGAGATATTTGAAATTTTTTTTTCAGAATTATTCATTTACATATGGAGCCGAATATATAAAAAATTTAGCTCCCGTGGAGATCGATTTCATTAGATATCATATTTTGCATCAAAGCATTTTCATTCTTTTATAGATTCACCATTTAAAAATAAATAGAAATGAATATTTGGACTTTATTGGGGCTAATTTTTTTTATATGTTATGCTCAATATGAAAATGAATAATTTTGAATTTTTTTTTTGCAAATAACCAAAGTATTTTATAAAAAATAAAATAAAATAAGATTGTTGCAGTAAATTTTTAGATTGTCTATTTCTCTCTGGTTATAAAATTTTGTTAAACAAATCTTATATTTTCTGGAATCCTTGTTTTATAAGCTTTTCGTTCATATGTTATTTGCAATATTTAGATGTATAGTTTTTGAGATATTAAAAATTACACAGAAGAATTTATTGAAAAACACTGTGTACTTTGCTCTATTCTTCTTCTTCTTCCTTTTTTTTTTTTTTTTTTGTTTTTTGTACCAACTACAAAAATATCCTATTGCGCAAATTGGGTACAACACGAGGGGCAATGTTGTCAGGCAATTTAAATGTAGATAATACACTATTGCGCAAATTGGGTACAACAAGAGGGGCAATGTTGTCATTTTAAATTATGACAGAGGCAATTTAAATGTAGATAATACACGAACGCCTATACAATATATAATTATACACACACAACACACACATATACAAAATACAAAATACAAAAAGTTGAATGCGGCGAGCATGAACATTGAGGATTCTTTCTCCTCCACCTCTGCCACCGATCTGACGACGAGCTCTTCCCTCCCGCCCGGTGCCCCACCCGCTACTCCTGCCGGGGATGTCGAGGTGGACCCACCACCTCCTGCGGCGGAGCCATCAAAGTCATCGCCGTCGCCACTTCAACCAAAAGTACAACCAAATATCATGATTCCATCCAGAGATCCCAATGCGCTCTTCAGCGGTGGTGGTATCAGGTTCAATTTCCATCCTTTATGTTCACTCTCTTCTATTTCTTAGTTTAAAAATTCATTTTCATAGATAATTAATAACTGATTGCTAATTATTGTTATTGTTAGTGTTATTAATTTCTTTTTCATGAGTTATTGCTCTTAACTATTGTTGGGTGGTCTCTTAATTGTCTTTTCAACTGTGTCTTAACATTTGTTTGATCAATTTTTGAGAATTGCTTTACATGTACTCTTAATTGTTGTTGGGTGGTCTATTAATTTGTCTGTTCTGTTGTGTCTTAACTTGTAATAGACTTTTTAATTGCGGTGTGCATTTACCAAAAAACAATAAATAAATAAATAATTGTTGTGTTACTTGTGTAGCTCTGTTTCGGTTTTAACTATGAACTTGTTCATATGTAGAATTGTGTTCACCCTTTTGAGTACTCAAATTCATCTGATTTTGACTTTATTTATTTTTCTGGTCATTGAATTTTTTGTGTTTCGGGTTGAGGTATTGAATTCTTTGGGAAATGATTGTCTAATTAGAGGGGAGATATTATGGATTTGGAGACGGTGGTAATGTCTGAGAGGTGATACAATGTTGGGATGGTTGTCAGTAACTGTTGTATCAAAAGAGTTCATGTATGTGTTGCCGTATAAATTGGTCTAACAATTGGAAGGCAAGGACATTTGCATTGTTTTACCATGAAGCAAAACATAATCCTTAAATTACAACAAAGTTGCTTTATGCTCCCTCTTTAATCATTAGAAATGACTTATGAGGAAAGTTAAATTACGTCAGAAGGTTAAAAATACATATAATAAGCTAAAACACACCTCATGTAGTATCTGTAACTCTCTATCTGATTCACTAATGGAAGAGAAATAGATCATATTTGTTTAGTTACTGAAGAAGGATATTGAGAAAAGGTAAGAAGAACTGAATAATTGGAGGGTGATGGCTTATTTTATTTTTATTTTTTATCAATTTTATTATGGAGAAGAGTCACAGGAAAAGAATGGAAGGAAAAGTGCGGGACTCAAATAGAGTGGGAAGAAAAGGACGGGGCTTGCTTAGGCCTTTTTCTAGAATGTTTGTATTTTGTGATGGAAGTCTCCTTTCCTTTGGATTACTCAACATCAACTCGCTCTAGGTGATGGTTTGGGGACATTTGTCTCCTTATAACTCTATATCTCTTCCCCCTCCCCAAAGAAAAATTCAATTGTGATTAAGGAAGATGTTTAAAATGTTCGCTGTCTCTTTTCTTCCCCTTAATCAAATGAAGAGTAATGAACACGTTTGGAAGGAAGAGAAGGGAAATCTCAAATATTTCCTCTGTTTGTTGTGGTAGAGAATGTAGTAAGAAAAACAAAGAAAAAAGAAATTGTATGATCACTTTGTGAACTGATTCTTTGGTATCTCAATTATCAACTTCCATTCTACACTTCCTCTACAAATCTATGCAGATGATGTTTTTTTCTTCTTTTGTGGGCAAAATAGATGATTTTTTTTAATAAAAAAGATTTCTTTCTTCGTTCTTTTCTCTTCTTATTAGCAAATAAAATTTCAAATCCTAGGTTTAGAGCAGGTTAGATATGCTCTTGAGCCAAAATGGACCTGTTTAGAATTAGTGAACTTGGTCTGATTTTTCGAACTCTAGTTGATCCTGTGGCCCCGATTGCAAATGAAAAAGGCAGTGATTCAATAGACTTCATTTAACCCCCCGAAAATTTTAATTGTAGAAGTATAAGGGAAACTAAATGATTCCTTTTCTTGATAGCTTTCTTACTGGAAACGGCAATGCGAGGTTCAGCTATGGATATTCCAGTTTCAAGGGTAAAAGGGCTTCAATGGAGGATTTCTATGAGACAAGGATATCAGAAGTTGATGGTCAGATGGTTGCTTTCTTTGGTGTGTTTGATGGTATGTCTCACATTTATAATTGCCTAACCTCATCGGGATCTTTATAAACTGTTTGTTTGTTTGTCTGGCGCAAATAGTACCATTGATGATGTTTTATTCTTGCTTAATACTTTGTAGTTCTTATGCAATGTCTTACTATTATCTTACAATATTTAGGAGTAGGAACCAATCTATGTAAAAAGAGTTGGCAAAGTTCAAATGCTCAGTTCTTGCTTACCAACATTGATCTTTTGGACTTTCTTGTATATTGTGCTCCGACTAGGTCATGGTGGTTCCAGGGCTGCAGAATACCTTAAGAACAACCTTTTCAAGAATTTAAGTAGCCATCCGGATTTTATTAAAGACACAAAGTCTGCTATTGGTATGAAATTAGCAGAGCTATGAGCCTATGACTATCCAATGCCTGATTTTAAACTCCTCTTCTACCTTGTGTATTATATAATTGAAAACATTTCTCAAGTGCAGTTGAAGCATTTAAACAGACAGATGTCGATTATCTTAATGAAGAAAAAGGCCAGCAAAAAGACGCTGGTTCAACTGCATCAACTGCCGTTCTGCTAGGGGATCGGCTGCTTGTCGCAAATGTCGGAGATTCCAGAGTAGTTGCTTGTAGAGCTGGTTCAGGTTAGATGCTTTATCAATGGTGATAAGCCGTTGTTACAGAATACAAATTTGTAGAATCATTTGAGCTAGACATTGTCAATACTTTGTCCAAACAGGAGACAACACACGCATACACACAGAGTAATGTGCAGGAAACAGAATTGAGTTTGAGAGCAGCCACTTTGTGCAAAAGAATGCCCAAAGGTTAGGGCTGTCTCTCATCTTCCCGTCCAGCACCTTGTGTGGGTGGGACCACCACTGGGTGAAGTGAGAGAAAATAATGAAACATTTTCAGTCCTATCATTCATATCTGAATATGTTTATCCTCCTTTATCCAAGTCAGGCTTCTGAAATTTGAATTTACCATTTTTGTTATTTCATTGTCTTCGAAAGCATTTTTCCTTTACATGGTTTCCTTTGGGTAATTATTTTCCCATTTGTTGTCTTTATCATCTCGCTGTGTTTTAAGTGTCTATATGTGTTGATTACACAAGCATTGGAACCTTTGCGTGCATGTTGCTCATTTTAATGTCAGTAGAAAATACCCTTGTCATTATTCTTGCATATGAAGTGGTATATTCCAGAGAAGCGTAAATAAAGATGGGAAATATGCCAGAGAATTAGTTAAAGATGCATCGCAAACCGATTGTATTGTAAATCATAAAATAATAAATTATTCTCTGTTCTTTCACTACACTTGCGCACTCACAAAAACAGAAAATTGAGTTCTATATTCCTTTTGGTCTTGTCAAATTTATCTTATTCTATTAGTAGTTTCGTCTCATCCATGCCTTTCCATTTCTTTATTGTCAAAGTCGAATTGAGTTCAAGTTTGTAAGATTGTAACTAGACTCACTAAACCAAGCAAGCCCCCTAATTTGCCTAGCTTGAACTACTAGTTTGCCTGGATCAGTGGCTTTTTTTTTTACTGTTACTTCTTGCATATTCTTTATTTTCTTTATTTTAGTTTTATAAAAGGTCTAAGCCTAGGGTTGCAGGTTTTTTTTGTAAGTTGTAACCACTGCTGCAATACTCTGTAAGGTTCTTCTATAAAATGTTCCCTTTACATGCTTGGGTCTATCAAACGCTTGTATTGTCATGAATCTTGTTGCATTTTTCTCTGTTTTTTGTGATCTTATCACTTGTAATCAGTCTAAGGTTTGAGTATGCAACTATCGCAGCAACCAAACAGCACTTCCGAGTCTATTCACTACCTCTTGAAGTGTCTTCATTAATGAATTGTGGTGCTTTATGTCAAATTTGGATTGAGCCCCTTCGATCCTGCTTGCTCTTGCAATTTTAATTTTTTTTTTTTTTTTTTTTTTAATTAGTGCTCTTTTGTGGCACATAGTGGAGTGGGGTAATGAAAACATATTGCTAGACCAAACCTACTAAGCAGGTTTCTGCGGGTTCGTATTTATTAAATAAGCATGAAAACTGCAGGTTTTGGTTCGTTGAATATGTATGAAAAATGCATATGAACATATTTAACCTACCTTTTGATTCGCATGTTAAATATCATTGTGATTTATGCAGCTGTGCCTTTGTCTATTGATCACAAACCTGATAGATCTGATGAACGCCAAAGGATTGAAAAGGCTGGAGGTTTCATCATATGGGCAGGTAAATAATGTCTGAAAACTATTTGTTTTTCTTCTTCTGAACTTCTATGAGATTCATGACATTTGTTGACTCAATTGCTTTCCTCAACTTCCAAATTGACAAAATTTAGATGATGAACTCTCAAACCTTGTCCATATCAAATTGGATTTTAACTTCAAACTTCCTGGAAAAAGTTGACTCCAACGTCATTCTAACAAAATTTTAATCCATGCTGGAGGTTTAAAATCTTCCTCAACCACTTTTGCTTGATCATCATAGATGGTATCCTTTTTTCAATAATAAATGATCCACTAGGAAGTGCTAAACAGACCAGCATCTTACTTTTCAAAGGAATGTCTGATCACGACAGTGATAAGAAGCTACCTATGGAAGCTAAAAACCGTTGCACCACTTATCGTCAAGCACACATGCATGTTTGCATCTTTATATTACAAGTATGTTTGCTACATGAATGCAGAAATATTAGCAACAAGTGTATGGGCAACATAAAAAAGAATGAGGAAAATGAACATTACATGGCAGTTTGACTGCTAAATACATTACAACTTTTTTTTTTTTTGATGAGTAAAATTCAATAAAAGCATTCAAAAGGGGCACGCGTCCCTCAAAAAACAGCACAAGGCCAAATAGGGCTTCTAAACCCTCAACAAATCCAAAAACTCTACAAGCTCATCCAAGGATTTAAAATTTTCTTCCTAGATCCCAACAAAAAGGTGCAAAGGATGGAGAATTTCAATGACCCAACATGATAAAAGGGTGCTAAATACATTAATACTGAATAAACTTTTGAGAGAGTAATTGACGTGTCAATAATAAAAGACCACTTGCAATAGAACGAATCCCAGTAGGATAGGGCTATATTGAGGGTGTCGAACCTCAAGGACCGTGTTGGTAAATCATTAAGTATAAGTATATTTCTGACTTGATTTGATTTGTTGTTTTCTTACTTCTAATTGCAATGGAACAATAGAAACTGAAAATAAACTAAGTTAAAGATGAGAGTTATCAAAGAGGGACATAGGGAATTGACTTCACCACTAAGCTCGTAACAATGGTCAACTATATTCAATTCGGGGAAATTTACTTTATGTATACTTGCTCACCATGATTTAATTAAGAAGATAATTATATAATCAAGCATCAAGTATATAACTCAAATTGGGTTGGCACAAATTATCTACCTAACTACTCTAAACTAGGGTGTAGCACAACTTATCTTCCGTAAGTATGGATTATCAAAGTACTTGTTTATATACTCAATGAAAACCATTGCATGATCATCACTTTCGTAATCACAGAAAATAAAAGTAATTTAACTTCAATTAAAACAAAATCAATTCTAAGACAAGATCATGATTCTATTAAAATTGAATATAAACATTAAATCCCAATTGCTTAGTACAACTAAGTCAATTCTCTAAACCATGCAATCAATATACATAACCAGAAAATTCCCTAAAACGAGTACAATTAAACCATGTTACTTGGATAGGGTTACATCAATTACCTAAGCAATATCCTCTGTATTATTGTTAAGTTGTAATTTAACTGTAACATTCATTCATTTAAAATGACTTTTTTAGATCCAATAGTTGTGTATATGATTCAATTCTATAGATAGAAAACACAAAATGGTTTTTCGGATATCTTCTTTTGTAATTGTGTCTATTTTTATGTTCATTGTTTGCTGATGTGGCTTTGAGATTTTTTTACTGCATTGGACTTTTTCTTGGTGTTGGTATCTAGTATGAGAAGAAGGGAAGGACTACTACAATTTGATATGTTGCTGAAAGATACAAATTTTTAACTGTTGGTAATCCTTTTGTCTAACTAGGGTTGTATAAAAGACACAGACGTGCGTCACTGTTATGAATCTTCTCCCTAGCTAATTGATACTAGTGTAGTGTAGTGCTTATTCAAGAACTTGTACTATAACAACCTCAACATTATGCTGAACTTCTTTAGGGACATGGCGAGTTGGCGGTGTTCTTGCTGTTTCTCGTGCATTTGGAGACAAACTACTTAAGCCATTTGTCGTAGCTGATCCAGAAATTCAGGTACTTGAGTCTGAAAGCTTTTTGAATCGAAAAGATAGTTGTTTGAACATGTCCAAAGACAAAAAAGTGACATTACATGTGATGATCTATTTGATAAAATATTCAAGGCCATAAAGTAGAAAAAGGTTAAAAAAGAATGCGGACTGAGATGAGATTTTTTTTCGAAACTCGTGCCTGATTTGAAAGATGTGCGTTCCCATATCAGTTGGCCTTCAGAATTGTGGTCTGTTTTTCCTAGTCCATAGAGTTATCAATCACTGATTATTAATTTATTAGGTATATATATAACTCAGATCTGTATGTAGTTGTTTGATAGTTGAGAGCCTGATATTTTCTTTCCTTTTGCTTATCTTGAGTCATATTTATGATGAAGCAGTTGGAGAACTTTTACAAGAGCTTAACCTTATTTATTTATTATTATTATTATTTTATCATTTAGCTCTTATTGATCATGTGTTTTTTTTTTTTGATAAGTCTTATTGATCATGTTATTCCCTTGTCAATTCTTAGGAAGAAGAAATTGATGGTGTAGACTTTTTAATCATTGCAAGTGATGGACTTTGGAATGTTCTATCAAATAAGGTACTTGTCTGATTCTAAGAGTCCCAATTTTGGGAGCTTTAATTTTCAGAAAATTTAGTTACATCTTCTATTTTGTATCTCTCTCTTATTTATTTTTCTATTGTAATGTGTCTCTTGTTCCTTTATGTAGTGACTAATACCAAATGCATATGATATTTTATTCATGTAACCCTGGTAATTAAGTAAGCTAAAGATTTATGTCATCGACCAAAGATAGCTTTTAAAGTTAGTATCTTTGAGTAATCATATGTTAGAATTTACTAATTTTATAATTCTCGAAGACTAATCCTAACTATCACTTTGCAACATGATTAGGTTTAGTTTTTGTATTAAAGAAATTAGTATGATGAACATCATAGAATATGTTAGTATTTAGTAAGATCTAATTTTAATTATCGTAAAATTTATTATCAATATAATTGACAAAATAAGAACTAGAATTGAGGAAGTTCTTATTTTGTCCTATAAATCATTTAGAGTAGAAGTCTTTGTCGGAGTTGTATTAGTTTTCTTCAGTTCCCTTCGCATAATGGTACTCCAATAAGAAATTCAACTTGATCATTTTAAGTTCTCCAAATAAGGAAGACCCTGTTCTCTAACCAAGGGTTGAGTCCTAGTAATATCTCATCCTTCTTGCCAAATGCAAGGTTGAGGGTTCGAGTGCCCAATGGGGTGATATGGATGCATGTGTGTAGCTTACTGACACAAAATAATAACAATAATAATAAATAAATAAATAAATAAATAAATAAATTCTCCTTTTCTATATCTTACAAACCAGGGCTTCCAAAAAAGAAGTTTGTTCCAGGACTATTAGAACCGTACGTGCAATTGTTGGTTGTAGACATAACTGGTAGTTGGTGCTATTGGCCGTAGTCACAGTGGCATGGAACATTATGTCTTAGATGATATCTGATGGGAACTTGAAACTTGGATTGTGGAATTTTCTTTTGTGCTAACTCCTAGAAACACTCTGATCCAGGCTGAAGTTGCTATATTATATTGGCATTAGAGTGCTCTGTACTATAGGGGCCAAGCTGAGTGGAGGTTGTATTATAATGCATGCATGACTTGAGGCTAACAATGGTACACGCATGATAATGCGGAAGAGAAATACATTAAAGCAAATTACTGATTTTACAATAGGCTTGGTTTTTATTCAAAGAAGAAACAACAGGAAATATAAGCTAGTGCAAAATGCAGAGTGTACTACAAGAAGGCCTAGCCCATGTTTCCCCCTTCCTCACTCTCAGTGATAACGCTAATGTCTGCCTCAAAGTCATCAAAGGCCCTGTCCTCATATCGCTCGCTCGCTTGATCTCGAAAATTCTTAAACCCCCAGCAAAAGTATTCAATCCCATACTCTTTGTACCCGCTCGACAACTTGAATTCATCAACAGCCTCTGACTTGGCAATGATCTGTTTGTTGGAAGCTTCCTCTCTTAGTCTCGCCATCTGAGATTCCCACTCCACCTTAGATACGCCATACGCCGCTTCTGTGGCCTCGGCGTTGATACGCTCTTGCAGTATGGTCGCCTCAACGCTTTTCCTCGGAGATATTTCTTCTTTGAGGGAGTCCTGCCAAAATGAAAATTCGCCTTTATGCAGGGCCTCTTCGTCTCGAAGCTTGTCTTCAGCTGACTTTGCTCGGCGCGACAAGTTCATCATCATGGTCGAACATTACAAATCATAAAAATGACACATTAATTTGTCGAGGAAAAATGTTACAGTAAAATACACAATGGATTGGTAGTACTAACCTTTGCCATTTCAAACGACATTGCATCAGCAACTTGCTCCGTAGAAAGAGCGCTTAACCCATTCACGTCATCTTCTTACACGAATTCCCACATCCGATTGGCAGCAAAATTCATATTCGACAACATTGAGCAACTTTGAGGCCCAGGAAGATAAGGACTATTGTTGTTTGACTCAGTCGCCTGAGTAGGGGGGCAAAAACCTTGAGGACTATGGCTACTCTGCCCACATGCCATACTTGATCCAGCAAACTCCGCAAAGCCTACGGATTTGTGGTGAAGCACTGGATGGATTCCCAGCATAAGGACTGAAGGATGCGGGGTGCAGACAGGCACCAAACGAAGAGGAGTTCCTCGTCATTGGAGGGCTAGAATACTGAGGGACAAAGGGCATCTCTTGCATAGCCGGAAAAGTAATCCCCGATGTTGTCTGCTCACGAGTGTTTTGACTTACGTTTCTTCACCTTGCCACGAACGTGAGAAATGACGTCTCTGGACGGGGAACCTAGCGTCCCTGCGGAAAATGAAAAGAGAGCAAAGAGTAAGATGCAGGGAGCAATTAACGCTACACAGAGGGGGCGTTAGAGTGTGTTACCAGAGGGGGAACATTGAGGAGTCCCGCCACTTCCTTCAGGGCTTATTGCGAACAACAACACGGTTCTCGAATTTACTAAAGATGACCAAGCCCCCACCGAGCATGAATACAGTACAATCTTCTGCACTCTCTCCTCTTCCTTAGGGGTAAGGAGCCAGTCAGTCTGAGTGTCTGCTGAGCAAAGAACTAATTAGCTAAAAGTAAAAAGTAGAACGAGTAAAGTACGATCGGAAAAAAGCAGGACTTACCAGACAGAGAGGAGACGTCGCCCGAGTCTGAGGCACTGCAATACTCTTATCTTCAGCGGTTGCGTTAGAATGAAATTCCCTGCCACTACCATAAACATAGAAGTACTTATTTTTCCAACCCTTGTGGTTAGGCAATTCAGGCGGAATGTATCGATTGCACTGCTTAATACTACAAAAGGTAACCCAGTCGCCGGAAATCTTTGAAGGGCGGAAAAAATAGAAAAAGTCCGCAAGAGTCATTGTGTCATTGCCACAGAGATGCCAAAGCATCATGCTCCCTATTAACGCGCTCCAGCCATTGGGAGCGAGTTGCGAGGGAGAAATCTTGAGAAGATAAAACACCTCTCTTACCAAGCTAGGAAGTGGAAGTCGTAATCCCGACTCAAGCATCATCTCATAAAAGCACGCTTCGTACGCCTTAGGGGGGTGTAATCTGCCCTCTCTGTATCCTCGGCGCATTGCAGTTGGACTGTTGGTGTCAAACAATTTTTGGCATTCAAGTGGATCAACTGGAACTTGTTTACTTTAGATTGAATACTTTCCACCCCTACCAGACAATCATCATTTGGATCGACAACCTCTTGGTTGGAAGAGGAGGCCGGAGCAGCCATATGTGATGAAAGGATAATAAAAATTGCTACCCAATTGAAAGGTGTGAGGATGCTGCACAATAGATGGCCTTAAATAGGCCTAAAAATTACCGTTTAAATCGTGCCGTTGGAGGTGAGCGGTATCAAAATAAAGGACATAATTGGTTGGGCAGAACGCCCAACTAATATGTACAAACAACCGGTACAACTTGCATGTGATGCCTGGCACCAATGCCAGGCATATTACAAAGGTAAGAAAAAAATTGGTAGTGATGGTTGGGCATAAATGCCCAACCTAAAGGTTCTGCCTAAGTGCTGGTCACTTAGATAGTACTCAGCTCAAAAGTTCACCCATGTGGGTGAATATTATTTTTACCAAAAAAACAAAGGGAGTATGTTGTAAGGATGTTTGGGCACAAACGCCCAACCAATGGGTTCTACCTAAGTGCTGGGCACTTATGTAGTTGCATGATTAAAGTGTCCACCCATGTGGGTGGGCATTATTTCAATAAAAAAAGCAAAGAAACAAAAATATGTATTTATATATCTATACATATACGACAATAAATTGTCCTATTGGTGAACATGTCCATGCATGTGTGTGTATATATATATATATACATCTATGAATAAAGAGTAAAGAATAAAGTGAAAGGCGATATTATTTTGCTAATTTATCTTTCATAAAGAAATCGAGAGTTGGAAGCGACTAAGCATTCCCTGTGCTAGACAAGCGCGCCAAGGAATGGGGGGCAACTGATGTGGGACTTCTAATCACAACTGGAAGTTCGAACGACACAGCATAGAAGTTGAGCGGATTGTGACTCATAAATAAGATGACGATGTGTTGTCTCCTATTCTTGTTCAAAAAGTAAAAGAGAATAAGCTTCGTACTTGAACGCTGCTACTAATCCCTATAAAACGGTGAGATCGGTTAAACCAAAATTTACACAAAAAAAAAAAAAAAAATTCCTAAAAAAGTAATCTCCTCTCTTTCTTTCTTTCTCCTATTCAGCTCTAGTTTGACGATCGAAGACCTTTAGGCTGGTTCCACACCGGTGCCTCTCCGATAATCTTTTACCCTCCCTTGCAGGTTTCGGGTTGCGACATGAATTAGCTTCAACAGTAAACAACTATTATGCGTCAGCCCTTTCCATACAAGGGTCAATGTTATTTATGGTCAAAATTTTGGGATATATGAATAGAAATTTGATTCTAAAGAGTTTTTATTTTTTCTGACAATAGAGGCTAGTTCTATTAGAAAGAAGATACAGATGTTGGGGACGGTTTAGATTGTAACGACCCACTCCACTACATGGTATGATATTGTTCGCTTTGGACTTGAGCTCACATGGTTTTTTTCTTAGATTTTACCCAAAAGGTCTCATACCAATTGGAACGTACAATTCCTACCTATATATCACTTCCCCTTTCCACACCTAGGCGATGTGCACCTGTAGTTTACCCAGTGTAGTAGCCTGCCAGTGCCTTGCACTCACCCACATAGGTCACCACAATCACCTTCCCTCCCCCCCTGGCGCGGGGCCCCAACGTCCTTGTTGGCCACACTTTCGGCTGGGTCAAGCTCTGATACCATTTGCAACGACTTACTCCACTATATGATATGATATTGTCCACTTTGGGGCCGAGCCCGCACGGTTTTATTCTTGAGTTTTACCCCCAAAAGGTCTCATACCAACTTGAGTGTACAATTCCTACATATATAGCACTTCCTCTTTCCACAGCCATGCGATGTGGGATTGTGCACGTGTAGTGTAATGACCTGGATTTTTCGCATAAATTTTTTCCG